TCCTCTTCTAACAATTTGTATTTGCTCCTCCCAAAGCATTTAGTTTGTAATGCTGTAGCGTATTTCACTCTCTTTATGTTTCCACAACAAGAACATGAGCTCTTCAAGTCATAGTCATGCTCTGAATAGCACTTCTCGTCTGCAACCCAGAGTGGCCTTCCAGCTCGCCTCCCAGTGCAGGAGCTCAGAGTATCTGCTGAGTACATGAATGTGCAGATGATTGCACTGAAGCGATGGTAATGTATGAGTGCAGATTATTCTGCCCAGTGGGGCAGCTCTGTCTTAGTCATATTCTGCTTCTACATCAGTGTCATTTTACTTGCACCTCAGGTTTTCTAATTTCTGGCCACAACATGTTTCCCCTGGTTGGATAGCCTGAGCTGACCAAGCAGAGATGGACATGCAAGCTGCCCTCCAAAACTTTGTCCAGCAATAGAATTGAAGCAAAAACCAAGAACTTTACAAAACTGGAAAGCGTACGCACCAGAGAGGGTGAGTTCCTGATTACTTCAGCTTTTAAATGATTCACAGTGGCTAGAACGGGGGATTTCATTCTGCCCCACCCCAGTGGAGGATTTCACCAAGCCACTTGTGTTTCAAGCTTCAATTTCAAGCCAAAAAGAATTAAAGTGTTCAAATTTCAACCTTGGTTAGCTTGACATCCTGTCTACCCAAATGTTTGGCTATTCACTGAACAGCTTGCATAGCCTCTGTGGTTGCCATGGAGCCCATGTGAGACTGAATGCCACTTAATCTTCTAAATCCCTCTGTTAAAGGATTTTAGCCCACTCTCTCTGCTTCCTCCAACAAAATAAAATTTGAATGGTGGCAGTCAGTAGGTATCTCAGAACAAGCTATTGATTTTCAATTTCTCAATTTGTAAAACAAGTGATTTCTTATTACATAACATTTTGCCAAGAATCTCACTAATGATTAGGGTTCAAAGTCTATAAAATAGATTGAATTCTTTAGAATTAAAGCAATCTGGCATTTCTAATTTGAAAAAAAGAAGTTTCATTTAAAATGTCTGTAATAAAACACATCAATAATTTTTGGTAACTGCTACATGTATGATTTCTTAAAAAAAGCTTTAAACAAAAATAAATTAGAAAAAAAAAAAACCCTTTGATTTCTTTCCCTCTGAATTAGAAGGGACAATTTTGTGTTGCTATCACAGTTCCTTCTTTTTCCTTAATCACTGGTTCATCTTTAATTTATCAGGCAGCAGTTTCCCCAGAGATCTAAGCAACTGTTATTTTTGTGTATTTTTAGATTTGTAATTTTTCCTCCATATTTTAAAAAATATTATTCACACATAAACCAATAAGAAATGTCATATTGGTACACAACTCAGCTTTCTGGGAGAATTCTGTCCCTAAAAACAGTTTAAACAAATGGTTTGTAGGAGGGTATGTTTACCCTCTATTATGTTAACATCAGAATGCTGAGACACTTTCCTCGAACTCACCAGAAATCTATCATCCATGCATGTATCCAAAATTTCAAAGTACATTTATTTTAAAATATTGTTGAAATAATTTAAACTTCATTTTATTTCTTTTAAAATACATTTTAGCTCCAATTACCAGTGGTCAACCATGGTCCAAAAATATTTACATACTAAATTCCAGAAATAATTCATAAGGTTTAAAATGCTTCCTATTGAACTAGTATGATGAAGTCACACACCATCCTACTCCATCTGTCGTGGGACCTGAATCATCACTTGTTCCAGAGTATCTATGTTGTATACCCTACTCACCCATTAATCACTTGGTAGTCATCATGATAATCTGGTCAAGTCTTAGTATGGCAATGCCTGTCTTTAAGTAAACCTTACACACTATCTTTTTTTTTTCATGCTCACTTTCTATGTCACAATGCCACCATCATTCCCCTCTCTACCTCACCAGATAGGCGGGGCATCATCTCACATCACAAGAAAGATAAGTACAGTACAGTGAGGTATTTTAAGAGAGAGAAACACCATTTATAATGGTAATTGTCCCATTAGTTATTGTTGTTAATCTCTTTGTGACTAATTTATAAATGAAACTCCATTATATGCATATATCTATAGCATATATGTACAAGAAAAAAGCAGTATGTGGAGACTTTGTATGACCCAATTTCAGGCATCCACCGGTGGTCTTAGAGTGTGTTTCCCACAGATAAGGAGGTCTGCTCTGTGCTGAGTGCTGAGAGTGCATATTTCCATGATTTAAACATCCACTATGCAATGTTCTAGTACTATTTACTAGTTCTTATACTTTTTTCCTTTAAATCTCAAAAGAGGCCCTGATTCTAGGTGCCAGTGAGCAAGTTCATGTCCTACCCTTTTCAGCTTCTCTTTATCATGTGTTTTAATTGAAGTCCTTCTCTCTAAGCTTCTCACAGCCATTCTGTGAGCTCTTTTTCCCCTGCCATCACCCTTTGCTGTGCTACCTTGCCTGGGAGCTGGCTGATTATGGACTGAAACCTCTACGAACCATGAACCAAAACGAATCCTCCTTAGAGCTGTGGGTACTAGGTACTGTGTCTCAGTGATGAGGGAAGTAACTAAGACAAACTCCGGTACTGAAGAAGCTGGGTCTTTACTGTGATATTACTCAACTGTGGTTCAGAAGCCTTTGGAACTGATTCAGAGAAGAAATTTGAAAAGGTCTTGGAGATGCCAGCTAGAGAAATAGCCCTAAAATGCTCTAAACCTAGTTTGATGGAAGATTCCAGTCAGAGCTCAGAAGACCAGAATGCATGGTTTCTTTTATATGAGAAATCAAAAGTAAAAATAAAGAAAAAGAATTTAAAATAGACAATAGGAAACCCTATATCATTTTTAATGTTCTTGATTTCTTTTGTTTACGTCTGTGATGTTGGTATGTTGCTATTTTTTTTTTTTACCACTCTCTTCAAAATAAAAAAATAGACAATAGGAAGTATGGGGCTAGATCCTTCTCAAATGGGAAGGGGATTAAGACATGAAGGGAGAGGGAGGTAAGGAGGGGAAGGGGATGAAAAACAAATTAAAATGTATTATGTACATGTACCAGCTCCGTACAAGAGATTTAGACTTTGTGCACTGCAAATGTGTATGAACTAAAAGAAAAAAAAAAAGCGGATAGAAAAGACCAGACTTGGGGCTGGGGATTTAGCTCAGCAGCACAGCACCTGCCTGGCAAGAGCAAGGTCGAGAGTTTGATTTCCGATACCAGAAAAAAAAAAAAAAAGAAAAGAAAAGACCAGACTTGTGAGGTTTCAGATGGGAACAAAGATTCAATTGGCAGTTAGACTCCACACTGTGTGTTATGCTCTGATAGAAAATTTGTCTCCATTTTGCTCCTGTCCTGAGAATTCCAGGGAGCCTGAGATTGAGATCGGTGGACTCGTTAACCCAGTGGAAGAAATTTCAAGACAGTCTAATGTTAAGACAGTGGCGTGGGTACTGCTGAGGACTTTTAGCCAGCTCTGCTTTGAGAGTCAAGAGGAAAAGTTGCAGTTGAATGATTTTAAAAATTCTGAGTTTGGCAAGAAAGGAAACTCCAGTAAAGTTAGGACTAACAAAGATGGAGCAGAGGACAAGTTGATTGCTAAAAATATCAGCATTAAGAAGAAGCCAAGTAGTTAACAACAGAACAATAGGAAAAATGCATTGAAGAAGTATGAGGAGCTAGCAAGGTCACACCATTGGCAGGCTCAAAATTGCAAAAGCAAAAGACTCTGCTTTGAAAAGAGAGCCCTAGAGCTCTCTGTTGGAGAAAGACTGATAGGGAGTTGATTCCCTAAGATTCAGTTCACAGGCACAGCCATCCAGGTGTTTGGAGGCCTGTACAACCTTGGTACAAAAAAGCCCTTATTACTCCAGGAAGTGGCAGACCTTGGCATCATCCACACGGTGTTGCCTTTGCCCGCCTGCAGAGTACAAGAGCTTGGATCAGGGAGCTTCCATCCAGATTTCAGAAGTCCTAGAAGACCAGACAATGTGTCCCTGCAGGGCAGTGAGTGAAGCTATGAGAGTAGAGTCAACAGTGGAGACCACACAACGTTGGAAAAGCCAGGAACATGGAACATCTGACGAAAGCCACAAACAAAGCCAGCTCAAGAGAGAAACCACAAGAACTGCGACCACTGGCAGTGCTGTAGACACAGGGCCACCCAAACCCTTAGAAGTTCACCCCTCACGCAGCCTGCCTCGGGCACTGGAGATGGAACCATGGGATTTAACGTTTGCCGTGCTGGATTCCAGTCTTGCTCTGCTCCATTCTTTCTATCCCCCTATTTTCCCCTTTTGAAGTGGAAGTGTTTACCCTGTGCCTTTGTGTATCAACAATGTTTAACTGTATTTGGCTTTTACAGGGGCTCACAGCTGAGTTTTCCTTAAATCTCAAAGGGGTCTTTGAACTTGGACTCTTCAGCAACACTGAGACAGGACTTTGGGGACTGGTAAAGATGAGTTAAATGCATTTTGCACAAAGGGATATGCATGAGTTGTTTGGGGCTTGGGGGGAGAATGTTATTGTTTATATCCATACGTCCCCTTAAGCCCTCGTGTGCTCCTAGGGTCATAGGGGCATGGCACTTACCAGCACATCAGTCCACTGAGGAGTTCATAGCTCAGTGTGACGTTGGGAAGTGAAGGCCTGGTCAGGAGGTGGGTGGCCAGGGACACGGCCTGGAAAGGTCTATCTCCACCCTCCTTTCTTGATTTCTCTTTCCTCTTGCTGCTGCTATGCCACAAGCTCTTTCTCCTTTGCCATGCCTTGCCTTGGAGTTAGCTGACTATGGACTGAAACCTCCACAAACTGTGAGGCAGAATAAACCTTTCCTCCTTAGGAAAAAGAAAAACCCTTGTTATCTTCGGGCTGCAAAGTTCTGCTTATTTAGTATACTTAACAGTCACTATCACTGGTGACCTCAGAAATGTCAAGACACTAGTGGTTTTCAGCTTCCGTTCTTTTCTCTGCCACACAGGACATTGCTGATCAATTTTGGTCCACTTTCTTTCCTACCTTGGCTCCAAAGGCCTCAGTGTTTGTACTCCAGTTCATTGTTCACTCTGTAAATATTCTCATTTTATTTTCTTGGCTCCAGCTCTTCCTTCACAAACTAAGGTTAGAACTTGACCACCATTTCTCTCTGCCACTGGTTCACTCTCCAGCCACCAAAATGTGCTTTTAAAAACTGACTTCAGGGACCAATCCAAAATGACTCTGAAATTTTGAATCAAAAATGAAGAACTTTGGGTTAAAATGGTGTAGGTATATTATTTTGTAATTTCTTTCCTAGTTCTCCACTGAAAAATGGAACACTTTCCAGCCTTGACTGCCCTACTGTCTTTACAAGGTTCATGTGCACGTTTGTCTTCTATATGTGGTCAAGTTGAATGTCTATGCAGAACTTACGTTTTTTTTTTTTTTACTTTTTCTGGGCAATTTATAAGTGTGTTAAATGAAATAAATTTCAGCCACAATCTTTAGGAGACCCAGTAAGTTACCTGGTCCCAGTTTATTTCTCAAAAAAGAAAAAATAGATGCAACATTTAGCAACTCTCATTGAACACTTGGTTGATTTTCTTGATCATATAAATGCTAAAGTGTAAATCTCCCTTAAGATGATCCAGGGATGCCCATCTTCCTACAATGATTGTATCCTACTGAATCATTATAGTATACTTATTTTACATAGAAACTTTAAGAAAACACCTTTTATTTAACTTTCTTTGTAGACACTTAAAGTCTGTTTACAGAAAAACAAGGAAAGACATCAATCACATAGATAATGATTACAAAATTTCTAAAGAATTTTAATGGTTATTACAATATCATTATATATTCCAAAAAATAAAACTCAAGCTATTTATACCTAATTTTATTTCTATTAAAATAAAAATAGTCCATCTATGTGAACTGATGGAGTCATCCTCAGCAAAGAAGAAAAGAACATGATGGAACACATAATGAATACATGGGATGTGGGCCCAGATTTGAGCTATCAAGAATTTCAAAAGTATCTCCGCTTTTAAAAAAACACAAAATACCACAGCTTGCCTTCAAAACTACTTAAATAATTTTCTGTTCATTCTATAAAGGAAATGATACATTAATTGATATTGTATCTGCAGAAATAGTTTTGTATCATCTTTTGCATCATCTTTCAACTTTAAATCTTAATTACAACTTAAATAATTTAGGGGTTGTATTTGTCAGGAGAACAGAATCAATATGTGTGTGTGAGGTGATTTATTATAAGGAATTGGCTCATGATATTATGGATGAGAAATCCTGCTATCTTCTATTGGCAAGCTGGGGAAGAAGCAGAGGTGTAGTTCTAAGAACTAGAGAGTTGGTAATATAGAAATCTCAAGTCTCAGCTCAAGCAGTCAGAATGAAAGAACAAATTCCCCCTTCTCAACATTTGTGTTCTATTCAGACCTTCAGCAGATTGGACAATGCCCACCCACACTGGGTCCTCTGACTCAAATGCTTATCTTGCCTGGAAACACCTCCCAACCACTAAGAAATAATATTTAGCCTAGGTACCCCATGTCCAGTCAGGCTGGCACATCAACTTAACTATCACAGGAATATACTGAGAAATAAAATATCTTACCTAGACTTCTCATTATGACCATTAAGAAGCAATGGTACATTTCCAATGAAAATCTTTAAAGAGCTGTGTGTGTGCGCGCACATCTACATATGTGTATTGATAAACTAATAATAAATTTTAATCTGAAATGCAAATAACTAATAGCAAAGGTAATTATCAAAAAGCAGTGTTAATGTCCTGTGTTTCTAAATATAAAGAATTATTATGAATTATAATAAGTAATTTTGTGAAACTGCTGTAAGAATAGAATACACAAATGGAATAGAATATAGAATTTTGCAAAAAACTCATCTATACATAGCCATTCCTATGTACCTAAACAAAGATGCCATTATAATGTATGTACTAAGGAAAGGGTGATCATTCCAGGAAAAGGGGCTGGATTAATTTATATTCATATGAGTAAAAATGAATCTTGACCTTTATCTCATATCATATGTAAAAGCTGATTTCAGATGGATCCTAAGCTTAGTGAAGACTAAGATATAGAAGATAATATAAAGGGTATTTTCATACACTGAAGATAGGCAACATGTGAAAAGTAAAACAAAAGCACTAATAATAAAAAGAGATTGACAAATAGCACTTAGTAACTTTGAGAACCTCTGCCAATTGAGACACGTTAAGAAATTTAAAAGCTAACAATGGAAGAAGAGATTTGCAGTAAAAACATCTGGCAAAATATCATCACCCAGAATATGTAACTAATTCCTGTGAATCAAATATTAAAATATAGAAAATCCAATTTTGAAACATGGCCACATACTTGAGAACAATGGGATATAAAAATGGCCAATAAACATATGATAAATAGATCAATTAGGTAGATACAACTGAAATCACAGGAAGGTCTGGGTGTTACTCAGTAGTAAAGCGCTTGCCTAGTATAAGCAAGACCCTGAGCTGGATCCCAGCACTGGAGGAGAAAAGATGAAACCACTATAGAAGAAATGTCACACTCACCAAAACAGCTAAAATTAACATCAGACTGATCACACAGTAGTAATATTGGTACGAAACTGGACTTATCAGAACTTTCAGACCATCCTACTGGAAATGTAATCAGGACAGCACTTTTTAATACTCTAATAATATCTACTAAACATACTCCTACCATATGGTGCAAGGAGTCTATTACCAGGTATCTACCTGTAAAAATGAGCACATCTATCCACCAAAAAACATGTCAATAATGTTTATATAAGTTTATTAATAACGGCAAAAATTGTGAAAAATCTAAATGCCCACCAATAATTTGAGTAGACAAATGATGGTATATTAATATAAAGAAATATGTAGCAATAAAAAGAAGGCACTATAGCCATGTATAATGGCATGGGTCTATTTTATACACATACATTTGCACAAAAACCTGACACAGAAGACTTCCTATGAAATTCAATGCCAAGCAAAATTAGCCTATACAAATTGGCTCTGAAATAGTGATGGCTTTTTGGCAAATAGATGTGGGACTGAAAGAGGACACAGGAGATCTTTCTGTGGTACTGGAAGTGGTCTATATTTTGATCTGGGTAATGGTTACCTGAGAGTACACATGTTTCTTAAATTCATTAAGATACACACTTAAGATTTAAATATTTTCCTGCAGATGTGTCAGACTCAAAAATCTTTAATTTTTTTTTTTCAATTTCTTAGGAAGTCTGATGTGGCCATTCTCTGCAATGCAGTATACAATGACTGTCTTTGTTCCAGACCATCTTTTCAAATATGTCTGTACTACAAAAGGCATTTAAAAAGGATACTATCTCCCTATGGGGCAGACAGAAGACTTGTTTACTGTCCTGCGTAATAAAGGTAATGTCCGCCTGCAGGGCAAAAGTCTGGCAGGATTGCTTTCGTCCTGTGCAAAAGATCCAGGTCATCTGGACTCTGCTCCTCATCTGTGACGCAGCCTGCCGCATGCACAGCCTCCACCTCAGTCTTTCACGTCGCAGCAGGAATAAACCAGTGCCAACATGAATCTCATGCTAATTTTTGTGTTATTAGCAAAGTCCTTTGTCTCTGAACCAGGAGTCTTGTGTCTCTGTTTCATGTCTTAGCCGTGAACCTGTAGGTGGCTCAGTGATTAGCCTGCCAATAGGTTATTTGACAATCTACAGAGGCCCTTGTTTAAATAGGCAGTGTGCAACCAAAGATAAATTGTTGTTCTCATGCCTTACCTAATTATTTTTCTTGCTTCTGCACCAGTTCATGCTTCAACACACTGTGCGTTTTTCTCTGGATGACATCAGTCTCCTCACTACCAAGACCTTCCACAGCTGCTTTCCTTTCCTGAGAATGCCCTGTATTATGTAGCTGGTCAAAGACACATATTCACTCCTCAGAAAAACACCTAGGAAAGAAGACTTCCAGAACTGCTTCAGAAAGTGACAAAAATGATAGGACAACTGTTCTCAGAATAAGAGGGAGCATTTTAAGGGGGATTAATGGTAATATACCTTTTATTGTAAGAAATTTTTAATTTACATATTCACTAAATATTTTGATCAGCCCATGTATGTGATCACACTCCGTGCTTCCAAATGATACTTGACCTCTACTGCTGATTAACTCTCAGTCTCAAAGCAAGGACTATTTCTCATTTTTTTGTCTACTTTCTTTACCTCAGTTTCTGGCATATAATCATTGCTTAATAAATGTTTACATTAGAAATGAAGAAGGGATGAACAAAAAAAAGGGAAGGAAGAGAGAAAGAAAGAAAGAAAGAAAGAAAGAAAGAAAGAAAGAAAGAAAGAAAGAAAGAAAGAAAGAAAGAAAGGAGGAAGGAAAAGAAAGAGATAGAAGAGACAGAAACAGTGAGAAAGGGAATATGGATGTTGCACATTGTCGGGTCTGCTTTCATGCTATGGCTCTGAAGAGGGAAACATTAGGATAGGCTTCAACTCATATTTTATTTCATCTGTTTGTAGCCTGTGGCCTAAAGGACTTAAAGCATGATTCAAAGCCAGAGTCAAGAATACGCCTCAGCCCAAGTCCTTACCAGAGAGTTACAGCTAACCTTTGACTAGACATGGCCTAGTATGTTAGAAAGGGCACCTGGTTTAACAGGAAGTGATTAAAGACCAGGCCATCTGTACAGGTGCAATAGGACTTTTGAATATACAGGACACTATGACTGAATAAAAATATAAACAGATAGAGAAAATCATGGAGTTTTTTTCCCCAGAAACCCTCTCTGGAAAAATACTATAAAAGATTGGGGAGAATTTTTCAATTTGTTGCTGAGGGCATGAGGGAGTTAATGTACACTACCAACCTCCTCAGAATGGAGCCTGTGAACTGCAGGTCTATTCCTTCAGACTCTGCTTTCAAAAGAGCTATGTGGGTTTGTAGGCAGGCCAAAGAGGAAAAGCTGGACACGGATTTCAAGGGTCTTTCTTACCTTCCCTCTTCTCTCAGTCTCTCAGCCTTTCTGCCAAATAAGGGGTTAAAAGTTTCCGATGTGGTGGTGTAGATGAAGTGGAACTGGGTAAGTGTTTCACTGTCACCTTAGGCTTTGGACTTAGACCTCTGTTCAAATCTCAGTTTGGGAAACGGGGATTAACGGGACTGGTAACGCAATATTAGGGCCCAATGCCAGAGCAAATTCTAGGGCTGACAGCAAGCCTTGAACTAAGCTTAGGTTGCCCTCTCTGTGTGAGCTTCTGTCTGACCGCGGAGTCCACGCGGCCATCATACCTGCGTGTGAGGTGACTTTCCATTACTGTACCAAACACCTCACACGAGCAACCTGAAAAGTGCTTACTTGGTGCGTAGTTTCGGAGAGGTCAGTCCAGGACCAGCGGGCCCCGTTTCTCTGTTTCGGGTGGTACACAATATCACGGCAAGAGCAGAGGGCGGAAGAGACCCATTCATGTCACGGCGGTGTGAAGAGAACCGAGCTCCCCAGCCCTCTGAGGACGAGGCCCCAGGGACTGAAGACCTCCCACTAGGCCGTCTTTTAAAGGTTCCTCCACCTTCCAGCAGCACGGAGCTGTGGGCCAAGCCTTTAACACAAGCGCTTTTGGAGGACATTGTAAGTCCAAACCCCAGGACTCTGTCTGTCGGCTTCAGATTCCTAAGTAGAAATCCTGCTAGAACTATGTCCTTGTAGAAGTCTTGTGTGGATCAGGAGTTATGGGTAGAAGGCACTCTGCTAACGGTAAGGACTCCGGGGCTATTAGTTCCATTTCTCTCCTTCTTACTTTCCTTTTCCTCGTACCACTCATTAGAGTAGGGGTAATATGTTAAAGCGCTTCAAATGTGCTTAAATTAACTGTCAGAAAACAAATACAACGCGCGTGTGGATAATGTTAATTTTCTGAGATAACAAAGACTGTACAAGATGACTGAAATCCATGGCTTCTGTCAGATCAACTGATTTAAAGACAACAATCTGCAATACAACTGCCATTGGTGAACTCCTGTCATCTCGTCTAGTGAGACTCTGCATCATTTCTACTGGGTTGTTCTGTTCGTTTTCTGATTCTCTGCAATGGTTTGCTCAATCTTGCATCCTTACGTCTGGTAATCTGAGCAAGTTCCTTGAAGATAACAATATATAATATAACAGCTAATTCCTATTATATAATCTAACTGCTATATATAAATTCCTATATATAATATAACTGCTAATTCCTATCATTTGTTCTGAAACCCGGTATCATTTTTATTGTTTCTGCTTTGTTTTGTTTCTGTCTACATTGCTGGTATTTTGCTAGTTTTCTTTCTTTATTATTCTCTTTAAAATAATCTCCCCATTAACTATTTTTTAATGAGAATTAGTAGGAATCAATTTTTCTAATGCCATCTTTTATGATATAATATAGTCCTGGAATTAGAATAAAGTTATTTTCTTAGCTCAGTTCCATACACATTAGTATATGCTCCTTTAGTTATCTTAAAATTCACTGCACAGTCACAAAATATCTCCCATGTGTGTATTTTTAACAGACCATAAATCATAAGAATTGGTTTCATTTTGTTTATTTTTTATAGTCAGTTCAGACAATAGCAGATATACACTGCATACCAAGTGTTTCTGAGTATGAAACTCAACTATTTTCTATGAAATTTTCTCCTGAAAATATTAAGAAAATGCCAAAGTATCTGTTATGTAAATTAAACATCAGCCATGGGCAGCTGTGAGTTATGGGTCATTCACATTATAAAGTAAAATGTTTTACTTCCCCTTAACTAGCATGAATTCCCTCTAGACGCAAGGTAAGAGTCACTCACAATCTCATATTTAAGTACAGGAAATGCAAATGACACTGCGTATTCAGTCAGGTCACGAAAGAATGTATATTTTACAAACATTGGAAATTACATTTTCACATCATTTTTCTAGTGCTTTTAATTGTCAACACAGTTGATGAAATTTTTACTTTAAAATTCCTATGCCTAGGAAAGACATGTTATAAAATGGAAGTGTTCATGGAATAAAAAGAATCCAATGTTGTCTTATAAGCAAGACTCTTTTATTTTCTTAAAACTTAATAGAAACATTGTGTGTTTATATTACATATTTAATTTGTATAGTTATAAGAATATAAATTGTACCTTATATTATTACTCATATATAGTACATGCATGGGGCATAAATGTATTATAAGTATATCAATATATAAACAATAGATGAGAAGAACAAAAAATCCTTCATTGTTTTCTATCTCTTCTCTGAAATTTCAATAGCCTAAAAGTCAGTCTTTTGCTCTCTGGTGTTACTGTATAATGAAGCCTTGCTCACTAACTTTATCACAAGCAGGAATATAAGAGCTTCCCAAAGCCCTACAAATATAAATGCAATCACATCAGTCTGTGCAATTTAACACGAGGATAATAATTCCTATTCTGCCTACTGAATGTTATGATGAGGATCAACAGAGGTAAAATCTAAGAAAGCTTTCTTCAAGCTCTAAAGCTTTTCATAAGTCTCTGGGAATGCAGAAAAAGGATACTGTCGTTTCTAAGTATTGCAAACACTATTTATTAAATGTATGATTGCTTGTAGTTTTGTGCTAGGTGTGAAATGCTGAACTAAAATGGTGCCACCAACATTGTGTTCGTAGATTATCACCTTACAGGGTTTTTTTTTTGTTTGTTTTCTGGTACCAAGAATCAAACTCACAACCTTGCGCTTGCCAGGCAGGCGCTGTGCCCCTGAGCTAAATCCCCAGCCCCTCCTTACAGTTTATTTTAAAACCTATGAACTCTTCATGAAATATAAGGGTCCTTTACAAACACCCACAAATATGTTTATTATTAATATAAATGCCTCAAAATTGTTTTGGTTTACATTATAATATATAGCTAATGCTATAGCTTTTGTCACGAAGTAGTTAATTTATTTATTTGTTTTACTTAATTTCTTTGAGATGGGGTCTCTCTGTGTAGGTCAGGATGGTCTTGAACCACATGTAGTCCAGACTGGCTTTGAATTTGTGGTGTTCTTCCTGCCTCAGCCTACTGAGTACTGGGATTACAGGCATGTGCCACCACACCCAGCAAACTGAATAATTTATATTTTCTTTCAAAAATCAATGATGCAATTGCTGGGCATGGTGGCACATGCTTATGCAGCCAGCACTCAGGAGGCTGAGGCAGGAGGATCAAGGAGGTCAGTTGGCTACATAGTGAGTTCGAGACCAGCCTGGGATACATAGTGAGACCTGGTCTCAAAAACAAACAAATAAAGAAACACAACTGAAATAGACACTTCTCAAAAGAACTGTGTTTCCCTGGAAACACTCTGCCTTGAGTGTTGTATAAATGGAGTGGTGCAGTATGTAATCCTGTGAGACTGGTTTTCTTTACCCAGCAAAATGCCTTTTAGATCCATGCGTGTTGTTTGTTTAACAGTTTGCTAGTATTCCCAGTGTATTAAATAATTACTCACCCGCAGAAGGATACTTGGATTGTTTCTGGGTTTTAGTTATGACCAAATAAAGCCGCTATCAATACTCACATACCAGCTTTTCTGTGACAACGGTTTACATTTCTGTCCGACAAATATCCGACCGTGCATTTGCTGGATTTTATGGTGAGTGTGTGCTTAGTTGTAAGAAACTGCTGGACTGTTTCTCAGAAGAGCTGGGTCATTCTCTTCCCAGCAGATGAGAGCTCTGCTAGCTCCACAATTTTTAAAATATTAGCCTTTTAAATTCTTCTTGTGCCTGGCCTCAAGCCCTTCATAAAACAGACCCTCGGCGATGACCCGAACCTTAGGCTCTCCCTTCCTTTCCACCTCGAGTCCAGCCGCCGCCTCCCCCTTCGCCTAAGTGTTTCTCCCTGACACCCTCACCCCGGTCACCAGCTGTGCTCCAGTCTTGTGCCATCTCCTTTGCCTGCGCTCTCTAAAAAAGAACAAAGGCAAACAACAAAAAGGCCTTACGCGATATGATTCACACGACGTACGGTTCACCCGCTTGAGGTACAAAAACGGTTTTTAGTCCGTTCCCAGGTCGTGTAATGAGTAACCGCGGTCAGCTGAGAGCCTTAGAGATTCATCTCACAGGCAGCCCCGCACCTCCTGTCCTCGCCCTCTCCGTGGGCCAGCGTGTCCTGCAGTGTTCGGCGTCGTCAGTGTTCTCCTCTTAGTCGTCCTGATAGGTGTACCAGGAGTTTGCTGCGGCTTAGCTCACGTTTCCCTGATGACTAATACTGTTGAATATCTTTTTGCGTTTCTTTTCTATCTGTATTTTTTGGTGAATTTCTGTCTGTGTCTTTTGCCCATTTCCGGATTGGATTCTTTGTTCTTTCACTGTTGAATTTAGGGTGTTCTTCCTATTGTGAAATTTGCAAATTTTTTCCAGTCATTGATTTGTCTTCTTAGCCTCTTAAGAGGGTCACTTATAGAGCAAAAGTTTTACATGTTCGTCAAATCCAGTTCAATTGACTTTTTTGCTCTGCTTTCAGCATCCTACCTCAGCTTCTAGTCTAACTTGAGGTCCGTTTTTTTTCTTTTTTTTTTTTTTGTACCAGGAATGGAACTCATGACCTTACGCTTGCCAGGCAGGTGCTTAAGGCACTGAGCTATATCCCCAGACACCTCTGTTCTCTTTGAAAAGTTTTATAGTTCCTCATTTCATATTTACATTTATTATATATTTAGAGTTAATAGTTTTGTAAAATGTGAAGTTTAGGTCTCATTATTTTTCTTTTTGCCTATGTATATTCCAGTTTTACAACAATATTTACTGAAAAGACTACCCCAATTGAATCACTTTTGTACCTTTGTGAGAAATCAATTGCATGCAGTGCTTGTATGCTTGTACTTCCAGCTTCTCTGTACTGTTCTGTTGATCTGTGAGTGATTCTAGTTTTGATGTCACATTTTCTTGATAACTATGAGCATAACCCTTTATTGTGTGTACTTTCTAGGTGAGAACTCACTAGGCAACACTGTCCTACTGTATCTCCACCCATACGTACTTGTGACTATGTCACACAAAAGCTGGTATGTGAATATTGATAGCGGCTTTATTTGGTCATAACTAAAAACCAGAAACAATCCAAATACCCTTCTGTGGGTAATTGTTCAATGCCCTGGGAATACTCAGCAAACTGTTAAACAAACAACACGCATGAATCTGAAGGGCATTTTGCTGGGTAAAGAAAACCAGTCTCACAGGATTACGTACTGCACCACTCCACTTATACAACACTCAGGGTAGAGTGCTGAGGAGCAAATCAGCGGTTGTCAGAGGTTCGAGCTGGGAGAGAGCGTGACCGCAGTCGGTTAGTAAGAGGAGCTTTCTGTGCGGTGGCAGGACAGTCCGGCACATGTGAAGTAGCTCACGTATGGCAGCACCTCACAGAAGTACACGTACACAGAGCCAGAGGAGAAGGTGCATGCAAAAGCTGGTGACACCTCAGCACATCTGGAGGTTAATCAATAATATCACACCAATGGCGATGTCCTGGATTTTTAGTTTCGTATTGTGTAAGATGCTACTGGAGTAAGCTAGGTGAAGGATGCATGAGGTAATCTTGTACTAACTTTTTCAACTCCTTGTGAGTCTTAAACTATTTCAAACTAAGTTTTTAAAAAATGTATTGCAATGACTGGAGTGTAAAGTTAAGTTCACCTACCATCTGAAGTCTGCGTGAATATCCACACTGAAGAAAAGAAGCTGAAATCTAGACACTTTTAACATTAAAATCCATACTGCAGCACGTCCATAAGAACCTGAATTTTATGTGATTTCACAAACAATTATGTAATCGTGAACCAATGCTGGAAATACAAACAGGAAAAAAATAATGATTTTTGAGAGAGAAATCAGGGCCTGCAAAGTGTTTTGGAAGTGAAAGAAGGGAGGGGTGAGATTTGAAACTATGTTACCAGAAGCTGCCCCTGGACATAAATTCAGAGACAGAGACAGGAAAAAAAAAAATAGCATTACTTTAGTGATGAGCTTTGAGTTTCATTTTATGATATTAAAGTCAAAGATTACAATTTTAGCTTCAAATTACTTTAGTTATTTATCGTTTTCTTCTGTTATTAGTGGAAATATCTTGGAATTAAATGTTCTGGTTATTTCCTTAAGCATAATATTCATAGCGTTTCATAGGATAAATTGAAGCTTTTAAATTACAGCTTTATTCTCTAAAACTTTCTCTCAATATTCAAGGAGTTGCTCTGCAGTGAGAATTACTGTCTGATCATTTTTCCAGTGACTTTATTTGCATAAATTTGGTTACAATTTGCCTTTCCATGTGGAAACATAACGGGCCTTGACTCAGGATTGCAGATATTCCTCCCAGCCAAGGAGAGTAAACTACCCTAAAGTTACAATACAGAATAAGGTCACAGTCTCTAGATAACTTTTTTGAAGAATTGTGCTAAAACTCTACATCCTTCTCATAAATTGAAGACTAAGGCCACGACATAAGAAAACCAGGTATTTGTGATATGCAAGGCAAGGGTCAGTTCTCCAGTGATATTCAAGGCACCAAATTATGGACACTGATGCGGCCACCATTGCAGCAAATGGACTGCAACTCCATATTCTGAAGTGCTGAACCACTGGCTTGAAACTGTCCCGCAGATCAGACATATTGCTCTCCTTAGATTGATGAGAACTCCGCTCCGCTCACCACACTCCAGTGCGGAGGGCTGGAGGCCATTTAGCATGCTGAGAAAGGTCAGAGTAAGCCTGTATCAGTTTCTGAACCTAAAAATTCCAAACTCCTTGCTACCCATTAAAATGAATGAAGAAAAGCTGTGTTTTGGAGTGTAGCATCCCCAAGACTTGCTTGAGGCATAGAGGGAAGAAATGATGATGCGTGGACCAGGAAACGCTAGTTTGCCACCTTCCGGAGCACATCAAGGAGCACAGCGCCGTGTGTGCACTCATCCCTGAAACATTATCATCTCAAAAAGTTGTATGCAGCTTAAATAATGGAGATTCCAACACAGAAAATGCATTACGATAGCGGGTCTCCTTGGCAGACGTTCCAAAAACAAAACAGAAAAATAATTTTGCCACTCAAATTGATTGTGAAATGGATTTTTCATGCAAAAAGCTGGAGTCAGAGTTTGCTGCAGGCAAGTACATAAGTTTAAGAAAACATTCATTATGCAGAATGTTAAGCTTCCGAGAATATGTGCACTGGTGACCCAACACACTTCATCTGAAGTTGGGCTTTACTCTCTGGTTGACCCTCAGCAGATTCACGCTGTAGTCCATGTGTAAGGAATGCTCTTGGTCAAACCCGTTCAATGACTGTACTTCAGATTGAAGTAGCATGGATTTGATAACAAAGATTTTCCTTTCCATCTGCACATTTGCTTCCTATTAGCGTATCAGTCTGAGCAGGACTACAATTGTATTGCTCTTTTTCCCATAATTATTTTTCTTCCTCTGAGTCCTTCTAGCATCTGAGATCACATGAGCTTGATATATTTATTGAATAACTTCACTTCTGGAAAAAGAAAATGTGACAAGGAAGGTGTATTCACACACATACACAATCTCTCCCCTGAGAATTTACATATAAGAGTTTTTTCAAATTAAATATGAGACTCAAAATGAGTTTTTTTCTTTAAGGACCCGTGACTGGCAATCTCTGGAGAAAGGAAGAGTGGCATCTGTCTGTCACTCAGACCGCCCATTGCAGCCAAAAGGGTTGAGGCAGCCAGGGAGGTTTTAGTCTCACCATCGTTTCTTGATTACTATTTGAAACATGCACAAGAATATATGGAATGTGAAGTATTTATGAGACACAACAAAGGGACTACTTACAAACTTACCCTTCAACGTAAGAACATTACCAATGGTACTGCGCCCATCTGTGTGGTCTTCCGGTGACACTTCCGGGTTTCTCCATGTTCCGAGAGGCCCCCATTATCCTGAAATTTGTGTTTGTGTTTATGTTACCGATTTTCCTCCCAAATTTGCTTAGGTTTAAATAATATACTGATTGATTCTTTCATTTATAAAATAAAATATAGTTTATTGCTTACTGTCTTCAAGCAATGCTTCACTTCAAGGATGCACCCATATTTTTACAAATAATTGCAGGTCATTCATTTTTACGGCTGCATAAAATCATACCTATAAATATTTCCATCATTTAATGACCCATTATCATGTCAACAGAAGTTTAGGACATTATAACTGCCACCAGTTATCCACGTCTCTGTGGACTCACACGTAAGGCTGGGTAATCCTGACCACCAGGAAGTTAAAAAGTCCTTTCCATTCGAGCAGGTTTATCCTTTGGTAAAGTGTGGCCCTTTGTAAGAAGTAATTTAAGAAGTCTCCTTAGGGCCATTGTAGGACACTTATCCTTTAGCAAGTCATACTGTTGGTTTAATAGTTATTCCTCCACCCCCTACCCTTTTATTGGTTAACTCTTTTATTGTTTTGTGTTTTTTTTTTTTGTTTTTGATTAATTACACTTATTTGTACATTTTAGGTGCACGTAATGATCACACTCATCACGGGAATTTGTACCTGTACATAGCTTCTTTTTTCCCCAACTCCCAAACCGTCACTTCGACTCCCCCTTCCCCTCCTTATTTACAAAAGCTTTCCACGCTGAATGCACTGGATCTGGTCTGCTCTCAAGCTCAGCGGGGTCGGGCCTGGCTAGTACTCGGGAGCCTCTGCCTCTTTTATCCAGGGTTTTGCCACGCTATGCTCTGATTTGCGCTTACTTTACGGGAACGCGGCCTGAGTTTCGGAGTCTCGGATAAGCAATCGTTTCCGCAATGGAAAAAGTTTGCATCTTTGATTGAGTCATGTTTGGATTCCAACCTTGACGCAGCCATTTACTAACTATGCGATCTCGGATAATTAAACTGCCAGTACTTCAGATTCTTCTTGGACAACTGAAAACCATGATAAATACTCGGAAGGCTGATCCATTACTAAACAGAATAAGATACTATACATAGCACAGAAGAGACACTGTCCAGGGAATAAAAGAACATCAACAAGTGACGCGATAAGCAAGGAACCACCAGAAATACCTACAGGGCGAGGGAGGTGAGCTGCACGTGAGGGTGAGGTGTGAGAATGGACGTAGCGAGGGCACTGCCCCACCCAGAGCGCAGGCCTCTTCGTCACAGAGCTGCTGTGTTACTCCAAGTGGCATCCTCTGAATTGAGGAGCGAAGCGCCCCGGAACACTCCCGTCTAGGGATGTAAGAACCATCTTACGTACGACAAAAGTGAAACTAACGTCTTTTCTGTGCCTGCCACGTGCCAAGCACCCCTCCCCAATGAGAAAAACCAGAAAGCCCTCGTACTGGGAGACAAAAACCTCATCCTTTTCCTAAGGAATCTGAAACACACCTTGTCTTCTGGCACACTTTCCACATCCTGCCACCTTGCCTGGGCAATCCCTCCTTCCCTCGGATCTGCTTTGTGGAGTCCATCCCGACTTGGGGCTTTGGATGTCTGAAACCTTTCACACCTGCAGTGTACGTGCGCTTGGCAAACAAAGTAAGCTTTCCAGCTTATTTTCCACAACAGGGATATACTTGACATTCTTCTCCACTTCCCTTTGCATTCTTTTCTTTTTTGGTTTTGGTTTTTTTCTGGTACCGGGAATTGAACTCACGACCTTGCGCTTGCCAGGCGGGCGCTGTGCTGCTGAGCTAAATCCCCAGCCCCTTCCCTTTTCATTCTTATCCTTCAGTTATTTCATATTACTTCCTTTTCTATCTAAAAGCCGTCCTACTCTTAAACAAAGATGTTACAGAAAGCCCGTCTCTAAAGGCTTTTCTTTCCCTCTCCTAGGGAGGCTCTAAAGAAGCATACTTGACTAACCGACACAGTACAAGTTACAGTTGTCTCGTACATATTATCTACAGCATTGATACAATAAAATCTTTCTCACGTCATTGTTAATTCAAGTACATTACAGCCAGTCATAAAGAATTTAAAACTGGAAATTTCAGTAGACTTCAAAGGCAAGATTTATTGAAAACTATTGACTACTTCCTCACAGATTCTGACTTAAAAATGTTGAATTTAAAATGTTGGTCATTCTGACCTCTCTTTACCCTGTTTGTGTCCTGATCTTATTTACATGACCCACTGTTGCTCCTGGGTGATCATCCTATGCTTGTCACCACTCTGTCCTTGCTCTCCCACCTGCATGAATGATTTTGTTTTATTTTGCTTTAATAGTCTCCATAGGGGAAATGATACCGTACACCACCTGGCAATTTTACAAGATATCCTTGCCAGTTTTCTCTGCTCATTACTGTTAGGGCTGTCTGAAATACAGAACAGACCTCGTCTGGCCAGTCCATGTTGTGGTATTCTTGTGACCAGGTTAATAATTTAAAAGTCAACACATAAAAGTAGATATATATGACATATGTCATACACAAGTTGAAAAATTTCAAGTTTGAGGACATGCTATGCTTCACTTATGATAGCTAAAGAAAGGGGGAGTTCTAACCTGGCTTTCCTGGGGACCCTCTGCTAACATTTTCATATAGTAATCCTGACTTTTTTCCTTCTCTGTTTCTTTGTATGTGAGTATTGCCTACAATCTTTTCAGGATCTTAAGCAACTTTTCTGTCTCTTGTTTATTCTCAGTTCTATGTGTCATTTTCTGGATTATTATTTTATCCATCAGGAATAAGTCCTGGCCTTTGAGGAGGAGAGGAAGTAAACCCTTGCCTTTCTAAGAACAAGTAGATTCATGTCACTGGTCTTTTGTGTTACGAATTTCTTGGCTTCTCTCTGGAGTAACATGCTTCGCAGGAAGAGCTTGACTTCTAGACTGTATGCCCTCGGGTCTGTCCCCCACCTCTTGAAAGCAGAAGACTAAAAGCCTCCACTGCCCATTTGATTATAGGTCAGAATGCACTAAAATTAAAAGGAAACTTTCCCAAAATTGCTGAAGCAAATAGGAGTTTGTTTTTCTTATATAACTGTAGATTTGAAGTCAGGAAGAATGTTGTGTCTCTTCAGTGCCACCAAAGACCTAGGCTCAGGGCTGGGGATTTAGCTCAGTGGCACAGCGCCTGCCTGGCAAGCACAAGGTCATGAGTTCAATTCCTGGTACCACAAAAAAACAAAAAGACCTAGGCTCCCTCTGTCTTCTGCTGAGTAGACCGAGCATGTAGCTTTTGTTTCTCACATGTACAAAATAAATGATGTACCTTCATGTATCACATCTTGGAAGAAAGCAGAAGGGTCATATGCCATCTTCTCACAAGTTTCCTCCTCTGGGATTCCCTTCCCTCAAAACTCTCTGCTTACACCGTCATTGACCATAACTGAATCTTCTGGCCAGTCCCACTTGTAACCACGGTTGGGGAGTCAAGTTAGGTATTCAAATACTTTCCAGCCCTTGAGCCACGCGTGTTGGTGCATGCCTGTAATCCCAGAACTTGGGAGGCTGAGACAAGAGGATCACCTCGAGTTCTAGGCCAGCCTGGGCTACGTAGTGAGTTGCAGACCAGCCTGGACTACATAGTGAGACCCTATCTCAAAAAGAAATATTTTACAATCCTTAAAATAGGGGAAATAAATTTTATAAATATGTTACCCTTTCCATTAAATCTTAGAGAATTATTCTTAAAGTTTCTGGAAGTTGTACCCATGAAATGCATACCCCGCTGTGCATATCTGGTACATATCGGTGCATATCTGTTACAGGTCTGACTACGGTCCTGAAGGCATTACATAAGTAACTCTCAAGTGATAAACATTTCTCCGAATAGCTCTTTTCTTAAAAACTGCATTACAGGGCTAAAAGTATGTAAGTGAATAGGGGAAAATGAGAGGGAAGGCACAAAAGAAAAAGAAGCACATTAGGAAATGGAGGACAGAGGAGAGAGCACAGATCCAAGGATGGCGACAGTGAACGAACAGCTACCCTAAATGCTTGTTTTTCAAAGTCAGAGTCTACTTACCCTCGAGCTCATCTTCCCAGGGTGTTGATGAGGGTGCTGCAGGGAGAAAAAAGAATCCAGATGTCTCAATGCCCCATGAGATCACGTATGTAATATTTTCTGAAGAAAGAAAAATGGATTTTATTATAATACATAAGATTATTAGACCACAGGCTTAAAAATCTCTATTTTTCCCTTTTTTCCCAATGTGAGCAATTCTAAACTATTAATAAACTTTAAAATCTACTCAGAAGAAATGTGCTAATAATACACTGCACTCTGCATGGGTATTAGAGTGAATCACGGTGTTTGCTCATTCTGTGGCACTGATTTTTACAACACTGACTCCCTTGCTCATTTGCACTCTCCTTGTTTCACTTATTCCTCATTTCTTTTTTACTTTCCCTTGGTCGCTTCCTCCCTATACACACACGTACATAAACACGCATCCACACAGATGAAGCCCAAATTATATTATATTTCTATGTAATTTTTAATAAAAGACATCCAAAGCTTAGTAACAAATGCATGTATTTATAAATAAAAGCAAGATAATAAAATCTTAGATTATATAGTTTAATATAAGGAAAGATATATTTTCAGATTATTCCCTTTAGTCCTTACACTTTTAACATTGTAAATACAGAATGACAATAACCCAATCCAAACTCCTTTGTCATCGCTTATATCTTTATGCATAAAAATACAAAAGAACTTGCTACACAGTTACTTGCAACCTTGAAATAGTTGCACAAAATATTATTTCCATTTAAGTTTTGTCTACAATGTCTTAGTAGTACACTGATGCCTTTCACTTTCTACAATAACAATCTGCTTTTAATATTTTTACATAAACCATAATCCCACAATTATAAATATATTCTTAAGCTTGCTGTACTATCTGTAACTAATACATCTAATAGAACATCATGAATAGTGTCTAATATTTTATCACAGTAGGATAGTCACATTTTAAATTAATTAATTCAGTTGACTATTTTCTGAGCACATGCTGTACGTGTGGCATTATGATCACATTTTTCAATCGGAGCTACAGTCCGGCAAAGCTCAGGTCTCTCTTAGTCTCCACACACCTGCTAGTATCTGGCTTTGCACCTGCACACAGTGCTCCATGAGCGTTTCTTGAGTGCATGCTATGAGCTGACCTTCACCTCAGAAGCTTGTTCTATTTTCTGATCTGCTTCTTAGTTATTATGAATCTAAATTCTGCTTTTCTGAAAGAGCATTCCTCTTGTTTGTTAAAGAACTTCATTTATTTCTCAGCTGTCTACACGGGCCCAAAACTTCTTGAGATAGCACTTAAGTAAACTTTCAGGCATCTCCCTTGCTGTTCCCATTCACCACTATCTGAATCCAAAGCCCTAGCCAGTAATGTCTTGGATGTCTTCTCAGAGCCATTCCATTCCTAACACAAAGGACTTTTAAGTACAAGTATGACTGGACCCCTGAAAAGACACCTCACCCCAAATTATCCTGCCCACAGAAGACAAACATAGTAAAAATGGTCATACTTCCAAAATTGTTATACAGATTTAATGCAATCCCAATCAAGATACCATAAGCATACCTCACAAAGCTAGAGAAAGCAATTCTAAAATTCATTTGGAACCAGGACACCTAAAATAGCAAAAACAATTCTCGGCAACAGAGGCAAGGCAGGAGGCATCAAATCCCTGACTTGAAATTATAATACAAAGCTACTGTGATAAATACAGCATGGTACTGGCAAAAAAGAAAAACAGACCTGAGGATCAGTGGAACACATTAGAAGATGCAGAAACATCTCCAAACACACATTGCCACCTTATCTTTGACAAAGGGACCAAACAACTTCACTGGAAGAAAGATAGTCTCTTTAATAAATGATGCTTAAAAATTAGCTATCCCCATACTGAAGACAAAAACTAAACCCATGTGTCTCACCATGCACTAAACTAAAATCTAAAGATCTAAATATTAAAACAAAAACACTAAATCTCCTGGGAGAGAGAATAGATATAAAAAGACATAGGTGTAGGCAAAGACTGCAAGAGCAAAACTCCAATTACATAGGAAATTCTACAAAGAATCAACAACTGGGGTCTCACCTTATTAAAAAGATTTTTCTCAGCAAAAGAAATCACCAACAGGGTGAAGAGGCAACACAGAGTGGGAAAAAAAAATTTCCCAATTCTTCTTCAA